ACCTTGTTAAATCCAAAAAGCCACTAGCAGCTGTTCCTCCTACACTGTTCTACAAAGAAAATATATTCTGTTAAAATAGGCACTGCAAGTTCAGCACAGTGGTGTATGTTTAGACTCTAAATCTCAGCACTTGAGAGCTGAGGCAGGACAGTTGAGAGTTCAAGCCAACCTGGGCTAGTAGCAAGTTTCAGAGTAACCTGGGCCATACAGAGACAGACCCTGCCCCTCCCCCTCCCCCTCCCCCCCCTCCCGTGCTAAAAAAAATAGGCAGTTAAACATAATTGTGTGCTTTTACATGTCCTCAAATTCTTGGTAGTACTTGTCAATGAAATTTCTCTGTATTATCTGATTCTTTGTCCATGGCTCATGTGGTAGAGCATCTACCTAGCAAGCACAAGGCCCTGGGTTAAAACCCCAGTACTCCCCTTTTAAAAAGGGGAAAGGGCCAGGCACCAGTAGGTCACACCTGTAATCCTAACTACTCAGGAGGTTGATATCTGAGGATCCTGGTTCAAAGTCAGCCAGGCAGGAAAATCTGTAAGACTCTTATCTCCAATTAATGACAAAAAGCCAGAAAGGGGAGGGGGTCGAGGTGGAGGGAAGAGGACAGAGGAAGGAGAAGATGAATTAAGAGGGAAAGGATAGAGTTTTCTAGTGTTCTTATAAATGATACTTAAAAGCTAAATAAGGGCTGGGTATGTGGCTTAGTGGTAGAGTGCTTGCCTAGCATGCCTGAAGTCCTGGGTTCGATTCCTCACTACCTCATAAACAGAAAAAGCTGGAAGTGCACTGTGGCTCAAGTGGTAGAGTGCTAGTCTTGAGCAAAAGAAGCTCAGGGACAGTGCCCAGGCTGAGTTCAAGCCCCAGGACTGGTAGTAATAACAACAACAACAACAATAATAATAATAATCCAGGCCCTTTTTTTCTCCCCAATCCTAGAGCTGCTGACCACAGGGACTCCATCAGTGCAGCGCAGTGCCCCCTGAGGGATCTATCTCCTGGAAACTCTGCTGTCTCTTTTCTTCTTCCTCTTTCTTTTTTTTTTCTTTTCCTTTTTTTTTTTTGGGGGGGGTCCAGTTGTGGGCCTGAACTCTGGGCCTGGGCGCTGTCCCTCAGCTCTTCAGCTCAAGGCTAGCACTCTACCACTTGAGCCACAGCACCACTTCCTGCTTTTTTCTTTTTGCTTATGTGGTGCTGAGGAATCGAACCCAGGGCCTCAAGCATGCAAGGCAAACGCTCTACCACTGAGCCACCTTCCCAGCCCCTGCTTCTTCAGACTCTTTCAAGTAGAAACATATCATGGTTCTGGAGCACGTAGTAGACCCTGGGCCCAAATGGCTTGACCTACTGATCTCCAATATCTCAAAGCTCTTTAAAGTACACATCCAGGCCATGGTTATTTATGATCAATACTCCTCTTCAAAGCTGTCTTCCTTTGAGGAACCTTAAGAAGCTTGGCTTGACTAACACCCCTGCTTATGTGGCCTTTCATTCCAAGCAGAACATAGAGTATGCATTCCTCATGAACTTTGTGGTCAACCATGCAGACTATTTTCTGATGATTGAAGATGACATGAAATGTGTCCCTATGTTTGTCACACAGATTGCTACCATACCATCTGCCCAGGAAAACAAATTGTGGATGGTTAAGGAGTTCTCAGCCTTCATCGGAAAATTCTTTCACACTAGAGACCTCCCTTACTTTGTTCATTTCCTGCTCTACCCTCTCTCTCTCTCTGTCTCTCTCTTTAACCAGGCCCTGAGCTTGAACTCAGGGTCTAGGCACTGTCCCTGAGCTTCTTTTGCTCAAGGCTAGCACTCTACCACTTGAGACACAGTGCCACTCTGGCTTTTTCTATTTATGTGGTAACTGAGGAATCAGACTCAGGGCTTCATGCATGCTACACAAGCACTCTACCACTAAGTCACATTCCCAGCCCCTCCTTCTCTTATATCAAGAAATGCCCTGTGCTGACTTTCTCTCCCATTTTCATGACCTCACACAGCAAAAAAAAACTGATCCAATTTTTCCCCTCCCTCTTCTAGCATACAGGAAATTTCTCCTCCTTTGAAGGCAAAGTCAATTACCTCAAGATAAAGAATTAGAGGAAGCCATGGGCCAGTGGCTCACGCCTATAATCCTAGATACTCAGGAGGCTGAGATCTGAGGATTGCCAAACAAATCTAGCCTGGGCAGGAAAGCCTGTGAGACTCTTATCTCCAATTAACCACCAGAAAACAGGAAGTGGCACTGTGGCTCAAGTAGTAGAGTGCTTGCCTTGAGATGAAGAACTAAGGGATGGCGCCCAGGCCCAGAGTTCAAGCCCCATGACCAATAACAAAAACAACAAAAAGACTGAGGAAAACAACATTGGCTATCAGAGCAACTCCATCTACACTAACCTGAACATCATCAAAGACTCTGTTCTCATGAATGCCTACAACTAGGAATTTCCTTTACATCAAAGAAGCAAAGGCTGACAGCCATCTAATTGTAGTTTTGAACACCTGCCATATTGCCCGCGTTCAAGTGCTGACTCTGAACTAAAAGAGGAGAATCAATCGTAAGAGTGGTCAGATAGATTCCGCTAATCAGAGCTCTGCCTATGGAGACTACATCATGTTGGGCATACTATAAACAGCATCCTGAATCAGCAGGTGTTGTCCAAAGAGTCTGGAAGGAAGGTGAAGTATGTAAGATCACTTGTGACAGCTGTTCTGCCCTCAGGACTGATAGAAACATTAACCTTTGGACTAAGTAAAATTTAATCATATATGGAAAAGTCACTGGGGGTTTTTGGAGGGAGTAGGCTGGAGGTGGTCTGCAAAGTTAACAAAATATTAAAGTTTTGAAATTAACAAGGACATTTCTTTTGCTTGATTCTCTAAAGGTTTTGTGTGTGTGTGTGTGTATATATATACTGGGGTTTAAACTCAGGGCCTAGGCACTGTCCCTTAGATTTTTCACTCAAAGCTGGTGCCCTACCACTTAAACCACAGCTCCACTTCTGGCTTTTTGGTGGTTTATTGGAGATAAGAGTCTCATAGGCTTTCCTGCCTCTGCTGGTTTTGACTCATGATCCTTAGATCTCAACTTTCTAAGTAATTGGAATTAGAGATATGAGCCATGGGTGCACAGCTCATATCTTTGTTTTGTTTTGGTCCATTGTAGGGCTTGAACTCTGGGCCTGAGCACTGTCCCTGAGCTCTTCAGCTCAAGGCTAGCACTCTACCACTTTGAGCCACAGTGCCACTTCCAATTTTCTGGTGGTTCATTGGAGATAAGAGTCTCACAGATTTTCCTGCTCAGGCTGATTTTGAATGGCAATCCTAAGATCTCAGCCTCCTCAGTAGCCAGGATTACAGGGGTGAGCCACCAGTGCCCAGCTCCATATAATTCTTAACTTGTCAGAAAAATAGTTATAAGTAAAATTATTCAACAAGAGAAAATATTAGACATACAAGCTCAAAAATTAAATAGAACATATAAAAAGGGAAAAAGAAAAACCACAGAGGACACCACACATTTTTAGGCCCAAGGGATAATTAGATGGGCACCCGTGGCTCATGTCTATAATCTGTCTACTCAGGAGGCTGAGATCTGAGGATTGTGGTCCAAAACCAGCCCAGGCAGAAAAGTCCATGAGATTCATATCACCTATAAACTACTCAGAAAAAGCCAGAAGTGGTGCTGGGGCTCAAATGGTAGAGCACTAGCCTTGAGCACAAAGAGGCTCGGGGACAGCGCCCAGGTCCTGAGTTCAAGCCCCAGGACTGGGAAAAACAAAAACAACACAACAACTAGACCTCTGAGGACTGCTCTGTGGTGACTTTGAGAAGATACACCAAGTCGCTCAGAGTGACAGCTGCCAGGGGACAGAGCAGAAATGATTCCCTACAGGCCCTCAGAACCCCCATGGTTGCTCTGACAGGAAATGTCCGAATGAAGACTGGAAAGCTGGTTTTTAAACCTTGTTCCCCCCCATCCCTCCCCCCCTCAGAAGCAGGTGCTTGAGACCCAAGTAGGCAGCAGCCCCATTCAGGGGAAACAATGGTTGCCAGGTGGAGTGGAGTCTCCTGGGCGAGGTGACTACACTCAGCTGCTTCAGAGGAGCCAGTCCGGGCCCTGCCTCTCAATAATAAAGTTTTTCTCCTCCATGTTGGATACCATTGCTGCTCGGAAAAATCCTCCAGCTCTCAAAGACTTCAGTGGATAAGCCAATCATGGTAAAGATGTGGACATGATCAGAAATGTCTTGTCTAGGATTTCCATCCTTATGAGGCCACAAGGGAGATGCGCCAACAAGTTTGTCCCTTGGTCCTTCTGATTCTATCCAAATCTCCTAGGTCTGCCTGCCATCATAATCCTAGAAAGGAACTATATTGAGTATGGAACTCAAAGACAAGATCCAATTTATTATTCTTATTATTTACTTATGTCTAGTGCTCGTGGTTTTGTTTTCAATTTTTAGGCATTGGGGCTGGGAAGGTGGCTCAGTGGTAGAGCGCTTGCCTCGCATGCATGAGGCCCTGGGTTCGATTCCTCAGCACCACATAAGAGAAAAAGCCGGAAGAGGCGCTGTGGCTCAAGTGGTAGTGCGCTATCCTTGAGCTGAAGAGCTGAGGGACAGCACCCAGGCCCAGAGTTCAGGCCTCACGACCGGACCCAAAAACAAAACAAAAGACATCAATTTTTAGGCATTACTGGAGTTTGGACTCAGGACCTTTGTAAACCATGCCTCCAGCTGTTTTAGTTTTGGGGAGGTTTACGTTTTTGTTTTTTCAGCTAGGGGCTTGCTTTTCACCCAGGCCAGCCTGATACTGCAATCATTCTACCTATGTCCCTGTATAGCTGAGATTACAAGTCTGTTTAGCTTATTTTATTAGCTTACATTATAAAATAGTTATGCAGGGTGGTAGAGTTAATTGTACCTTTCCACACATGTTCACAATGCATTCCAATCAATCTCACGCCATCACTCCCCTTGCCCCCTTCCCAGAACAACTTCAATGGGTTTCACTGGTCTATTTTCATCGTTACAAACACTCCTTCAACCATATTCATCCTCTTCAACAGCTTATTTGGTGAGGTGAGGTCCTGATAGTTTTTAGTAGGCTGGCCGCAAACTTTAATCCTCCTGATTCTGGACTCCCAGATAGTATTATAGATGTGAAGCACCACACCTACCCTAAGGCCTAATATTTTAAAGAATTTTTTTTGCCAGTCCTGGGGCTGTTCTCAGGGTCTGGGCACTGTCCTTGAGCTTCTTTTGCTCAAGGCTAACGCACTACCAGGCCACAGTGCCACTATCAGCTTTTTCTGTGTATGTGGTACTGAAGAATCGAACCCAGGGCTTCATGCAGGCTAAGCAAGCACTCTACCACTAAGCCACATTCCCAGCCCCATAAGCCTAATTTATTAATCAATAGAATGTACTGAGAGACTAGCTGAACATGGAAGTTGAGGAGTATTATTAACACCAAACATTCAATTTCTTCTTCTTGGCAACACATCCAAAGCTGAACAAAATCAAAGCCTTTGACCTTTTTATTTCCTTAGATGGCTCTGCATAGTGGGAAGAGAAGATCTGACAGCAACAGGTAAGCTTACGACTCGTTGGAGGTGCACAGCTGGTTTCAGGGTGGGAGAATAAACCCCAGACTCTCTGAATCTGCTCAGGATTCAGTGCTGCTCATATGTCTGCACAGCTGCTGCTGGCTGAGCACCCTGCACCAGTTCCGGTGGCGAAGCATCCTAGTTACTGCATCCTTAATAGCCCTCGGAGTCTTCCTGGAAAAGGTCAACAAGACTGCAGAGCACAGTGTACTGGTGAGTAGTTTCAGTGGGTGTTGGACTACTTTGCCAGCACTTAGATAATAGGGCATTCTTAGCTAACCCGTGGCTCATGTTTATAATCCTAACTCCTCAGGAAATGAGATTTGTTTTGTTTTGTTTTTGTTGGTTGTGGGGCCTGAACTCTGGGCCTAGGCACCATTCCTCAGCTCTTCAACTCAAGGCAAGCACTCTACCACTTGAGCCACAAGCGCCACTTCTGGTTTTCTAGTGGTTAGTTGGAGATAAAAGTCTCATAGACTTTCCTGCCCAGGCTAGCTTTGAACTCTGATCCTCACATCTCAGCCTCCTGAGTAGCTAGGATTACAGGCGGAAGCCACCAGCACCCAGCCAGAAAGTGAGATTTGAAGATCTCTGCTCAAAGCCAAGAATGGGCACCAAAAAATCTAGAAGTGAAGGTGTGGTCAATTGCTAGAGCACTACCCTTGCTTGGAAAAAGTCAAACAAGAGCAAGAAGCCATGGGCTAGGAGTATGGCTTAGTGATAGAATGCTCGCCTAGCATGCATGAAGTCAAGTTCAATTCCTCAGTAACACATAACACAAAAAGCCAGAAGTGGTGCTATCACTCAAGTGGTAGAGTGCTAGTCTTGAGCAAAAGAAGCTCAGGGACAGTGCCCAGACCCTGAGCTCCCACCCCAGTACTTGCACCAAACACACAAAATAAAAAGAACAAGAAGCCTTGACTTAAAACCCAGTACCTGCCGGGCTCACCCCTGTAATCCTAGCTACTCAGGAGGCTGAGATCTGAGGATTACAGTTCAAAGCCAGCCGGGGCAGGGAAGTCCATGAGACTATCATCTCCAATAAAAACCACTAGAAAACCAGAAGTGGCGCTGTGGCTCAAGTGGTAGAGTGCTCGCCTTGAGCTTAAGAGCACAGGGACAGCACCCAAGCCCAGAGTTCAAGCCCCACAACCGACCAAACCAAAAACAAAACAAAAAAACCAGTACCTGCCTCAAAAGACAGCAACCATGGAAAGCATGCTGGGCTTATCTCCAGAGGTCCAATTCAGATACTGAGTATTTGAGAAGAGAGAAATGTCCCAGACTTACAATGATAGGATCTAAGGAGTGGGCATAGTAGCATGAAGAGGGCAAGACATTTCCACAGGACCATGCTAATTGCAGGACAGCAGATAACCACCCCCACCCCCCCCACCCCGTGTGCTGCCACCTCTTTCACCAGGGGTCCTACTCCTTCCTCACCTAAAGAACTAGAAGGAAACTCCCTGGGATGGAAACCCACACAGTCAGGCTGAGGCTTTGGGATGCACATTGTGCAAGAACAGGTTGGCGCAGGGAGAAGTGATACAGAGGTGTGTAATTACCCTGAGCAAGAGCACAGCCTTCACATTCACTCATCCTAAGGACAGGGTCACGCCCTGCCTCCAGCACCTCTCCCAGATCCCAGCACAGGCCCATCCGGAGTCGCATGATAATGGCCAAGAAATGACATGTGCAAGGGCTGGAAATGTGGCTCAGTGGTACAGTGCTTGCCTAGCATGCATGAAACCCTGGGTTCCATTCCTCAGTACCACATACACAGAAAAAGCCAGAAGTGGTGCTGTTGTTCAAGTAGTAGAATCTAGCTTTGAGCATAGAGAGGCTCAGGCACAGTGCCCGGGCCTGAGTTCAAGTCCTGGGACTGGCAAAAAAAGAAAAATGACATGTGCAGTAAAGCAGATCAAGTGATTCCTCACTGTGTATGAGCCTTGGGCCTTTCCAGTCACTCTACACAAGACAAGCACACTGCCCTGTTTTAGGCCCATGGTTTCCTGGCCTCTACCAGACAGCTTAGTGTGCTCTCAGGATGAGATGGAGAAAGCAGATAGCGAAGGGCAGACACTCACACTGGGTCCTGGGGCTCACTATAAGGGGGATATGCTCCTCAACTATCTCCAGAGGACCTGGACATCCCTTCCATGTGACATGTATCTATCTTATCCTCAAAAGGAAAAGGAGAAAATAATTGGGCAGATAATTCAGGAACAAATGAACTCTGAAATCAAGAACCATCTGGATACCTTCAAGGAGATGCAAAAAACCTTCCCCCTTTTCAAACATGCTAACTACACCCTCCTGGCTGGAGCCCCTCCCTGGAAGAAGAGTGAGTAAGTGGGAGAGAAACTTCAGGTAGCAAAGGCTGAAGGAGGTTTTTCCATAAGAAAGGGGAAGGAAAGCCTGGCACTGGTGGAGAGCTACTCAGGTGACTGGGATCTGAGGATCATGGTTCAAAGCCAGCCAGGGCAGGAAAGTCCATGAGATTAATCTCCAACGAACCACTAGAAAACCAGAAGTGAAGCTGTGGTTCCATGTGATACAGTGCTAGCCTTGAGCAAAAGAGCTCAGGGACAGTGCCCAGGCTCTGAGTTCAAGCCCCACAACTGACAAAAAAAAAAAAAGGAGGAGATCAAAGAGAGCATTTGGGAGTGAATTGGCAACAAAGAAGGGACAAGAAGATGCTCTGATCAAGGATCAGAACTGGGTACAGAACGCATTTTCCTCCCATCAGTGGCCAAGTGAAGATAGGATAGGAGCCCAGGGGAGGGAGAGCAAAAAGTGTGGGTTAAAGGGGGAAAGGGGAGGTTCATTGGCCTGCTAGACCCTGGGACTTACAGGGGTCCATGAGACCCTTCTAATACAGGTTGGGGTCATGTGTGCTAGCTGAGATAACTCTGAAGGTCAAGATGAGGCTAATTTGCCAAGCCAGAAAAATTTGCCTTTACTACAAAGTGGTGTTTCCCAGGTAAGATAGAACCTTGTTGAGTTTTAGTCGGTTGGTTGGTTGGTTTTCTGGTGCTGAGACTTGAACTCAAGACCCAGACATTGTCCCTTAGCTTTTTTGCTCCAGGCTGGTACTCTCCCACTTGAACCACAGCTCTATTTCCCAGTCTTGCCATTGGTAGCACCCCCTCATCAGCTTTTCAAAGTGCTGATCAAAATGAAACCACTTGCCAGCTTCAGATTACATATTAATGTCTCAGCCTTTTCCCAGGAGAAAGAGATGTGAATTGGGCTCCAGGACCAGCCTTTGGGGGAAGAGGCCCTTTTTATCATCCTGTCTTGTTCTTCTTCCTCTTCCCACCCAGAGCTGCTGACTGTGGGGATTGCCTCAGCGCAGAGTTCCCATGGCAACTACCTCCTGGACACCCTAAAGTCCCTGTTCCAAGCTTCTTCAAAATATGAACTGGAGCATCCTCTCGTGCTGGTCCTCCTGTCAGACTCTGACCCCCAGTGGCTCAGCCAAACAGTTGCCAAGATTTCAAACCTCTTCACATGGTTCATTGAGACCCAGGAGCTGCTCGTGGTCCATGGTCTTCTCCATGGTTCCCTTGTGAGGACAGTGGATGATGGCTCACCGTGTGGAGAGCTTTACTCCAAGCAGAGAGCAGATTTTGCCCTCCTCATGAACTTCGCAAACAACCTGTCTGATTACTTCCTGTTGCTGGAAGATAATGTTTATTGTACCTCCGGCTTTGTGTCTACCATCTATAGGACTTTAGCAGCCTGGGAAGACCTGCCTTGGGTGATCCTGGAGTTCTCCAGGCTGAGCATCTCTGGGAGAGTCTTCCACACCAGTGACTTGCCCCGCCTCATCTCTTTCTTCTTCCTCTTCCCCATGGACACACCCACCTACCTGCTCCTTTCTGAATTCCGGCTACTCTTGAATCAAAATGTCCCAATTCACTTCAGTTCATCCATTTTCTACCGCCTGACTGGTTATCTAGAGTCCGAAAGAGCATGCTTTCCTGTGGAGCAGGCAGTGGTCTTCAGGAATCCAGACAATCCTGTTGGAGTTGTGGTCTCCAATATGATCCCAGCAGTTTCTTATATGCCTTATTATGCTTATATTCTGAACCAGGACCACTTCATTGGTGTGGAAGTTTGGGAAGGAAACTTCTTGACAGTGATTCTGGATAAACCCCACAAGATCCTGCGGGTAGCAGTGCTGACAGGCTCTGAGGAAAATGGGATGTACCACTTACAGAAGGCGCATGTTCTACTGGGCTCCGGCCTCACAGAGGAGCCCATGCACTGCACCCAGTATACCCTGCTTGGGCCACTGGTGAAAGGAAATTTGGACCAGAGGGTATTTTATGAAGAAGATTCTGTGGAGGAACTGAGCTGTATACAGCTTCTGGTATTAGCACCTCAGGAATCTTTGCTCCTGATCAGGCAGATCAAAGTATGGACAGAAAAAGAGAATTAGAGGGCTGAATGGTGTTTCTAGAAGGATTGGGTTTGGCAATGGAATCTACAGGATTGAAAAAATAAACCCAGAAATTGGTTAAGAACTTCTCCTGATGAGTATAGTGAGCCTATAAGAAACTCTTAAATCTGGGACTCCTGAAGACTGAAAAGAAATGCTATTAAAAATTACTCTAGGGGGCTGGGAGCACTTGCCTAGCATGCATGAAACCTGGGTTCCATTTCTCAGTACCACATACACAGAAAAGGCCGGAAGTGGGGCTGTGGCTCAAGTGGTAGAGAGCTAGCCTTGAGCAAAAGAAGCTTAGGAACAGTGCCCAGGCTCTGAGTTCAAGCCCCAAGACTGTTTTTTTATTTATTTTTATTTTTTATTAAAAAAATTTTTGGGGGTCCGGTTGTGGGGCCTGAACTCTGGGCCTGGGTGCTGTCCCTCAGCTCTTCAGCTCAAGGCAAGCATTCTACCATTTGAGCCACAGTGCCACTTCCAGCTTTTTTTTTCTGTTTATGTGGTGCTGCGGAATCGAACCCAGGGCCTCAGGCATGCAAGGCAAGCGCTCTACCACTGAACCACCTTCCCAGCCTCAGGACTATTTTTTTTTTTTTGAAAAAGAATGTAATGTAACCAGCCCCATGTCAGCCAGCACATTTGCTACTAAACATGCTACATTGTTCTTGCTCTCTGGAATTTCGCTTGTCCCTATTCCTTAACATATTACAGTGTTCAGAAGGGCACAAAGAACTCAGCTTTGATTCAGACCATTGTCCTTTACAATGACTGATCAAGGTACAATACTGCTTACTCCTGTAATCCTAACTACTCAAGAGACTGAGATCTGAGGGTCTTGGTTCAAAGCTAGATGAGGAAAGAAAGTTCTTTTTTTTTTTTTGGTCCAGTCATGGGGCCTGAACTCTGGGCCTGGGTGCTGTCCCTCAACTCTTCAGCTCAAGGCTAGCACTCTACCACTTGAGCCACAGCGCCACTTCTGGCTTTTTTCTTTTTGCTTATGTGATGCTGAGGAATCAAACCCAGGCCCTCATGCATGCAAGGCAAGTGCTCTACCACTGAGCCACCTTCCCATCCTCAAAGAAAGTTCTTGAGACTGTTATTACCACAAAACCAGAAACAGAGGCTGTGGCTCCAGTGGTAGAACCCCAGCCTAAGTGGAAATAACAAAGGGACAGTAGAGCAATCAAGCCCTGAGCTCAAGCCCCAGTACTGGCACATTAAAGAAATAATAATAAATAAAAATATAAAGAGGCCAGGTGCCAGTGGCTCACATCGGTAATCCTAGCTACTCAGAAGGCTGACATCTGAGGATCGCAGTTCAAAGCCAGCCCAGGCAGGAAAGTTTGGGAGACTCTGATCACCAATTAACCACCGGAAAACTGGAGTGGTAGAGCACTCAGTTTGAGCTG